AAAAATGCCCATCACACTTTGGTTAAAACCGTAATGTGACTGTATTTAATTGCTTGTTTTGTCCGATCAACGCTCCAAACCCAAAGAATTCAGTTTACTATCATAACAGAGAAATACAAGTGGCAGATCCTCACAACTGAGAAGCAGCAAGTAGGTAATGTTTTGCATTTTTGCTTAAAAAATGTTTTCTTTTTAATCTAAGGCTCTAATTTGTGCCAAATGATAAAGTTGTTTCCACGAAACTTCTCAGGAAATTATTTGGTAACTTCTGGACCCTTAAAATAAGCTGCCACTCTTAATGTTACTGCTCAGTTGGAAAATACATTTTTTAAAGATTGAAGTAAACTCTAAAAATAGTATGGACACAGTAAGAGTGAGAAAGCAGTCAGTGAGAGACAGAATAAGAGAGGAGAGCACATGCCCTGATACTGCTACAGAGGATTACCATTAATCTCTGTTTGGGCAGCAGTTCACCTGCAAAATATTCTCCCATTGGCTCTGGTCTAATCTGGATCTGCACCATCCAGCAACCAGCCGTTTGGTTGGCTCCATCAACCACTGTGGCTGACAACAATGTGTTTTTGTGTGTGTGTGTGTGTGATCCATCACCAAAAAGCAGTCTCATCCTTAAACAACCCAAAACACTACTAGGAAGGGAAATTGCCAGGTTGTGCTAATTCACAACTGCCAGGGGTGTTATTGCTGCACACCTTGAAGCAAGATTGGATGATGAGGCTCAGTGTCTGACTGTGTGTGAGATTCGGAAGTGATGTGACATGTAGAAACCAACAGAGCAGCGTGTTGAGCTATTAAAATTATTACACAGTCTCATAGGAAGCATGCACATGAAGACAATCTGATTTTACATTTCTATGTATTGTAGAAACAACCACTGAGAGGAGAGAACTGTACATCAAAACTGTTTTATTGAGAGAATAAAGCAAACCAAAACAGTTTACATGTTGCTCTTATATTGGACAGTCCCTGTTTTTCCTTTAAAGCAAAACCAAGCATAACCAAAAACAAAAGAACCAAAATGAGATAACTAACTGAGGTATTTTATGAAAGGTATGTTTGGTAAGATTGTTATCCTGGAAAATGAGTGGTACAATACATTCATTTGAAAATCTAAAATTTAAATATTACAAAGTTGTTCTGACATTACCAAATCACATGAAAAACTTTTTCTTGCAAAAAGTACATAAGCCTTGAATATGCGCTCTAAAATGTAAATGTTTTAAACGTAAAGCCTTTTTGTACTGATGAAAACTGTGAAGCGTACTTGTACTGAAGTGTGTGTGTGTGTGTGTGTGTGCACTAATCCATGCCTCTGTCTGTATTGTTTGTACATCACTGAATGTGTACAGTTTGTAACAAAGAAGCAATGAGTCACTGCTCCAAAGCAGCTGGCGCCCACTGGATATGTGTGTGTGTGTGTGTGTGTGTGTGTGTGTGTGCCCTGCATCAAATGGTAGGGAATGAATGAATGATTCAGTGGCTGAAAGTTTATTTTATAAAATAATTTAGTTTAAAGCTGATTTATTTGGAAACGCAGGATGCTACAAAATAACCCAATCAAATGATTCTGATTTGGGGCTGGGCCGTGTGTGTGTGTGTGTCTGTGTGTGTGATCTCCCCCAACCCAGATTATTGATTTTAAAATTAAATGAGTTGAGAGTCAATTGAGATTAAGTAAGATATTAAAGGATAGCTGTCACTATATAAACATGGCAAGATCTCTCGAAGGTTGACAAATTTATTTGTGTCATGGTATATATATCATATATATGGATAGATAGATAGATAGTGTCTCGATCTGTCTTTTCTGTCTTGTTTTAACAATCTGCATTTCTTCTTGTCTGTCCCTTATGTATTTTTTAAGCCCTCTCCTCCTCTTTAGTATCTCTGCTGTGCGTGGGATTGTGTCTGTGCTTTTTGGCAGTCACTGTGAGCAGAGTGTGAGTGTTTTCAATCCCCCCACCTCGCCGTGGGGGGATTGAAAACACAGGAAGGCGGGGGTGGAGGGACTCACACCCTCTCAGCAGGATTAGATAAATGATCAGCGGACAGAGTGGGGGGGAGTCACACTGCTGTCACATCTGACAGGGTTACAGATGACGGGGAAGTGTTTCCAGGATTGTGGCGGTGTACATGGCAATGTATACAGCTGATTCTGTCCGTGGCTTTTCATCTTATTTGGAGGATCCTTGTGGTGTCAGTTTGAGGGGAGGATGAGGAGGAGTGGAGTGAGAAGAGTTAAGGCCATCTGTCCTCTCTAAAAGGCCCAAGTGGGAAAGAGGGACAGCCACATACACACAAATGTAGACACTGGGAGGCAGGTAGACCAGCAGATGGGCAGATACACATAAAGGCCAACAGAGAGCGGGGTTTCCTTTATTGTACAAGGCTGCGTTAGAGCAGCCAACATGGAAACAATATTCAAAAAGGAAGTTCCCCATTGCTGCTGTATCCAGAGTAGGAGGTGTGAAGGATTAGCAAACATTAGATATGATGTCTTTTCAGGCCTGTTTTGACAATTGCACGGTCAAAATTCAAGTCATATTGTCCACATGCTTTGGAAAAGGATTAAGATAGACTGACCTGCAGAACTCAGCAACCTGCAGCTTTATGAGAATATAACACTTAACTTCAGTTGTCTGGAAAGGTTTACCAGCAGTATTTTTTGTTTTTGTTCTTGATGAAATGAATGGTCTTGTATTGTCCATTTTTAATTTGATCACTTCCATGGTAACAAAAGGAACATACCAGCCCCTCTAAATCTTACTGATCAACATGTTATATCTTGTTTGTTTAATCCATGCAAACACAGAAGTGTAAAAGTGTCAGGACCAGACTTCCTGACGAAGAAGTGGCATGGCACCTAATATCCCATAAAATACCAAATTGTTGTTCTAATACTTTGTACATGTTCAGCAAACAAGAAATTCAAGGCACAATGCTTTAGAGGTTACCTTGAGACAGAGCCAGGCTGGCTGTTTCCAGTCTTTATGCTAAGCTAAGCTAACTGGCCAGTGGCTCCAGCTTCATAGCTCACAGGTCAGAGTAAATATTGATCTTCTAAGTCCTACCGAGAAAGCAAATAGGCATACCGTATTTCCCAAAATGCTGAACTATTAGCTCGATTAACTCCCAAATGTTCCCCATGTTCCCTGCATCTAATTGCTAAATTTGCCTTTTCTGATTAGATCACAGTTTTTAGCAAAAGCAGTTCAGCCCAGATTAGCTCTCAGCTCACGACTCATGTAACTACCTTTAAATTTTGCTTGAGGTTAAAAAAGAGGTGGTTTAGTTGATTACTGTTACAGAAGATTGTCTCCTCAGATGCTGAAGTTATCCAAGTGTTTAGACTGAGTTAAAACTTTTATCTTAATTTATTGCATCATTAAAAACGGACTTTTTATGCAAACATTTTGCAGTTCTTCATATGAATGCTTTAATTACTGCGTTATCACCAAGCTGTATGTTGCATGATGACGTTTTTCCAGCTAAAAGTAAGACAAGCTAATAAATTGCTCTTCTACAATGTTAGATTGACAACGACAGTATGCCTCTGTAACAGCTTATTGTTCCCATAAACACACACACGCGCACATGCCATGCATCACTGAACGGTAACTGTCCAGTCAGCTGGTTGAGGAACACACAGTGCCAGTGGCGAGTTAATGCTGATGTTGCATAAGCAGCTGAACACCCCCAAAGAAAACAGAGATGCAAAAAGAATAAAAAATATATTGGCAGGCGGTCATCTGTGTGGACACACGCTCTTATGCATTCGCAAACACACCTTCGATGCACATGAACAGACACTTAATTAGCATGGACACATACAGAGGGTCCTCTATTGTTCTCCAAAAAAAACTTAGAGAGTAGATAAACAGAACTTGTACAATACAGAAAATGCTTCAGGAAAGCCTGTTGTATTTGTTATCTTTTTCATTAAATCAGAAATTGAAATTGACATGTCAAATTGCTAAGAGAACATCATAAATGCTCTAAAAGTGGCTCACATTTTAGTTGTCATCAAATTAGAAGGAGAAAACTACACAATTCTGTAGCTTTCTAGTTGTAATTTCGTTTGCCTGAGAACCAGTAGTGTCTCTCAGCTGTGAAATTGGTGATTATTCCATCCTGCTTCTGCTGAGGATTTGTCGATTCCCTTTTTAATGACAAACATTAAAACACACTAAAACATCAGTTAAAGCATGAACAGCTGTATTAACTCCCAAAGTCATTGTCAGTGTTTAGAAAATGTCAGTTTCATCTTACTTTTGTTTAAATGAACAACTGAACAAAAGCAATTTTGTAAAGTTATATGCGGTGCGCTCACTGTGCTATACAGGCACAATTTATGTAATCTTTTGATTTTATTTTTATTTTTTTCAGTTTCTGTGTATAACACTGATATATCAACAGTGTTTATCTATTCACAGGGTTTATTTGAATCTGGATTATTCCAGGAAAAGCTTCAGGAAACTCGAACCCCTAACCTAACCCTATAACATTGCTTTCATAATTTTGAACCATGTACCCCCACAAAGATGATTCCTGTAGAAACAGCTCTGCAGTACATCAAAGTTAACCGGGTGGGCCACAGCTGTTGTGTTAGGATTATTTGTTATTCAGAATTGCACTCCACACACACAAACATTCACACTTGCACATGTCTGCACTTTGCACTGATTTCCAGAGGGAATAATCCTTTTTTTACCCCAGTCTTCCCAAAGCCTCAGAATGCTGATTTATTATGGCTGACTCATTTTCTATTGTCTTTTTGTCATTTGGTGATTCATATTGTAATGATGCAGTGTTTTAGTTTCTAATTTCTTGAATTTTATGTTTTGTTTTTGCAGTGCTTTATGTAGAATTTTAGAGACTGACAGTCTTTCTTTCTGTATATATTTTTTATTTATATATTAATTTATTTATAGTCCCTCTGCATTGTTGTTGGTTTTACTGACCATCTCTCTGTTGTGTTACAGGGATTTCCTTCCCCGCGGTTCTGGCATTGTGACTCGTCGTCCTTTGGTTCTGCAGCTGATGAACTGTCCCACAGGTAAAAACACCTTACCCATAAACATCTAGGGAGGTTCTTGTTTTGAGGATCATTGGATTTTCAATAGTACAGAGCAAAAACTTTGCCAAAACTGAGCTTGCTGTGTGTCTTAAAATGTTTCTCCACTCAACTGAGAGGCTTCATCAGCTGATTGGTGCAGAGATCCTGGCATTCAAAATCTGTGGTTAATTTGCAATAGCTGTCCATGAGTTGATAATAAAAGATATATTGAAGCCTGTAGTTTGCAAAAATGTATTTCAAGTCTTTTTAATTATGTGGGAGCTTAGTTAAAGCCAGCATCTACAAACATTTAACATCTAAACAAAAACCCTCTCCCCCTCTCCAATTTCATTGATCTTACCTGAAAATGGAAATGGCATAACAGCCCCATTCCTTACAATAATTTCCTTTGATTCTCCCTAGAAGGAGATCAGTTAAGAAATGTAGACAGCTTTTAGCTCTCACAGGTGCAAACTTCCCCTCTTCCCTCTGGTGTCTTAACATTTCTCCTCCACACTTCTCCAGGGAAAACCTTCCTTCAACATCTTTTCCTCTCTATTCATCACTACAGACCTGGGGATGATGACAGTATCCACGTGTTAACATGTTTACACTTCATTAGGTTGTTGCAGGGTCCGCTAGCAGGCTCCTTACAGCTTACTCATGGTGTGAATCAGAATTTAAATAAACTTAATTTCATTATAATACACATCATGTCATGGCTGCTGGATTACCTTTTGACAGATATTTTCAAACTATGAGGGAGCTCACAGAGCAAGTTAAAGTACTCTAAAACCCAAATGCTGCAATTTGCGTCAAAATGCTTATTCCTGAGTCAAGGAGGGTATAACACCTAACAAATAAAACGTCCAAAAATTGGCTCAGAAATCATATATCATCCCTATAACTCCAGAGCGGAAGTTTTTGCGTTTGTATTAAAGAAATCCAGTGATAGTTGTATGTTATTCTGTGGGTACATTGCAAACAGGAACTGCTAATTCGACAAATGCTTGTTATGAATTTGCCAAAATGTAAACAAGTAGAGTTTAAAATGTTGGGGCTTAGGTATAGCTCACATCTAACGGACTCCATGGCAACATTATATCCTGTTTACATCCCTGAAAGCCCCCACATTATGGGAGCTGTAGTTCTGAAGCCTAGAGATGATTATCTCCCAAATCAAAGTAAGAAAAATAATAATAGGAGTTACTTTTTTTATGTTGCGCTATCAATATTTTTTCACCTTACTAATGCTGAGAATGTCTGACAAAAGTGGAAAAGTAATTTTTGGACACCACAACTGTTGTAACTTTTATAATGATATTTATTTAATCTTTTGACGGCAAAACGCTTGTTTAAAGGCCTTTTGGTTTGTTGTCCTATACAGAGTTTTGTATGGAATTTGGCACTGGCTTTGATAATTTTATGTTAACAGGGAATATATTGGTTTGCAACACAGGTATAGTGTGCATTTTTATTAAAGTGAGAAAACATTTTATATTTTATTTCTTCTTCTGATTGCTTTCCTTTTTTCCTATAATTTCATTTTCAGTAATCTGTTTCTTTTTTGTCTCTTCCAGAACATGCTGAGTTCCTCCACTGTAAGGGCAAAAAGTTCACAGATTTTGATGAGGTCCGGCAGGAGATCGAGGCAGAGACTGACCGGATCACCGGGGCCAATAAGGGCATCTCCCCTGTGCCCATCAACCTGCGTGTCTACTCCCCTAATGGTGAGGCTCACAAAGCTCTTATTATTTTTACACAGATACTAGTTTGGGGTGACTTTACAGTTGTCTGACGAACGATATGTGGTTACAGACATAAATAGCACACTCCTGATTTTCATGCATGTCTGACATCAATAGATTCTCTACCACAAAGCTTTTTATTTGGCAACAATGTATCTGAAGAAGCTCTCTTAGTTTGCTCAGCTTTCTCTTAATTCTCCTGTTGCCTTTTCTTCTCACAGTGCTGAACCTGACCCTGGTGGATCTACCGGGGATGACCAAGGTGCCGGTGGGCGACCAACCCGCAGACATCGAGGCCCAGATCAGAGAAATGCTGATGCAGTTTGTCACCAAGGACAACTGCCTAATGCTGGCCGTCTCCCCGGCCAACTCTGATTTGGCCAATTCTGATGCTTTAAAGATTGCCAAAGAGGTCGACCCTCAGGGTGAGTGTATGCAGGCGCGCGCGCACACACACACACACACACACACACACACACACACACACACACACAGACAGTAATGTTACTGAAGATGACAGAGACCAGTGGAGGAAAGTTACTATACATTTACCCTATTTAGGTAATTTACTTGAGTATGATTCTTAAAGAGGTGGTATTGTGCTTTTTGACTTTTCCCCTCTCCTTTATTGAGTTATATACGTTTTTTGTGCATGTAATAGGTTTGCAAAGTGAAAAAGCCCAAAGTCCACCCCAAAGGGAGTTCCCATCTCCCACAGAAAACTCTACCAAAAATGTTAAATAAATTTGTGTTGCATTAAGTAATTAATTGAAATGTTCTTTGCATTGTCCGAGTCATTTTGACAATTTTAAAGGGGGTTTGCTCCTGATGTCATAGGTTGTCAAGCGCAGACACAGGTAACAGGGATTTGATCTTAGGCAGAGCAGATACAGTTGGGGGTGTTTAATGAAACAAATAATAAACTTGCAAACAACGGAAGCACGCAAGCAGTCCAAGGAATAAACAAATCAAGAACAAGTGTAAAGTGTAAAGAACACTTTGCTCAGAGAATCCAAAATTTATCCAGATGCGACAGAGTAAACTAATACAGGTAGAGATCCTCGACAAAGATAAGCAAACAAATGACAAAGACTACGGGAACATGCAAACGTAAATACCAAAGAGGGAGCTGACCCAACGAGGCACTGGCCGACACAATCAGGAAAAATTTAAACTGACTAGGAAGCAAAGCTAGATAAGGCACGAGAGACAGAACAATGCAAAATAAAACAGGAAGGTAAAGCACACAAAACACACAAGGACGAATTTAACAAAATAAAACGGAAAACAAATGCATATACACTGTATATATATAAACACTCTTGAAGTATTTCTACATTGTGATATTGCTCCTTTTTGTAAACAAATGATCTAAATACGTTTTTCACCACTGACATAAACATAAACGGTTGCAAAACTAGCATCAGCTTTTGACAGTAGTGTACATGCACACATCATGTATTTACAGCATCAGAAATTATAGTTTAGTTTAGTTTTAAGTTCCATGTTCAGGATTGGTTTGATATCATTGTGGTGTGTGTGTGTGTGTGTGTGTGTATGTGTGTGTGTGTGTGTGTGTGTGTGTGTGTGTGTGTGTGTGTGTGTGTCTGTGTGCGTGGACATAGGTATGAGGACCATTGGTGTGATCACCAAGCTGGACCTGATGGACGAGGGGACAGATGCTAAGGACATCCTGGAGAATAAGTTGCTTCCACTCAGGAGGGGTGAGCACACACACTCACACACAAACAAACGGTTCTCTCTACCTCGGGGCCCTCGCAATGACACACGGTTTCCCTCTTGTGGTAATAAGGCCGTTGTACTCAAAGATGTTCAATGCTCCAACCACTGAAAAAAAAAAAAACAGAAAGAGAGGGGTGAGGGTGTAATAAAACAGTGCTGTGTAAGAAATCAAAAGACAGACATAAAGAAGAGAGGAAGAGTTGGAAAGGAGAAGCAGGGAAGGGTGCAAAGAGAAAAACGCTGTCTTGGAAAAGAGCTTGCATGTGTCTTGTGAGCCTTTTTATTGCAATGTGCTGATGTGGTGATTTTCTTTTCCATTTGCACTTGGTTAGAACCCAGGCATGTGCTTTTGAATATTTTCCATGTCCTTTGTTTTTTCTACGTTTTTTCCCCCCTCCCCCTCTTTTTCTCCCCGTCTCTCTGTGTGTCTAATGTTGTGGATGTTCACATTTACAAGGCTGCTGGCTCACAGTTGCATTAGTTATAGAGCATGAAACAGCCTTTAACTGAGTGATGCATGAGAAAACTTAACTGGTGGTGAAATGGGATCCATGTGACCTGAACTCTCAGGTTGTTTTTTTCTTTTTCCTCTTTCTTAAAATACTTGGACACACACATACAGAGATTTGTTCATGTAATACTTCCTCTCGTCTCTTCATCCTTCATCTATACTCTTTTCTTTAAAACCAATGTCTCCTAAAATGTGGTTTTCGTCAGCTAAACATTATTAAACACAGTTTTAAGCGGTGTGGTCCTGGAGTGGCTGGTCATTTTGGGTTTCGCTGTTCAAACTCAGTTCATATGTAGAAAATAAGAGCCCTATATACTATCTTCCAGTCAAATTACCAGTCAGGCCGAATCTGTTCCAGCCTGCTCTGAAAAATTTGCGGAAGTGATAAAAAAAAAAGAGTTGGATCTGGTTTTCATGCAAATCTCACAGAGTATTGAAAGTATTGTAAATGTCTGGACTCTTGTCTGTTGTGTACAGGTTACATCGGTGTGGTGAACAGGAGCCAGAAAGACATAGATGGCCGGAAGGACATCAATGCCGCCATGGCTGCTGAGAGGAAGTTCTTTCTCTCCCACCCTGCGTACAGACACCTGGCCGACCGTATGGGCACTCCCTACCTACAGAAAGTCCTCAATCAGGTGTGTCTGTAGTATGTCCATTCATGGGTTCTGTTTTCAGCAACACCAGGTCTAAAATTCTAACATACCAATGATCTGTCATTTTGCCTGCACAGCAACTGACCAACCACATCCGGGACACCCTGCCGGGTCTGCGGGCCAAGCTGCAGAGTCAGCTTCTCTCCATAGAGAAGGAGGTGGACGAGTACAAGAACTTCAGACCTGATGATCCATCTCGCAAGACCAAGGCTCTGCTCCAGTGAGTAGAGACAGCAGAAGGATAGACAATAAAATATATACAGACTAACATATTCATTAATATCTGTGTCTCTGCCTCCCTGCAGGATGGTGCAGCAGTTCTCTGTGGACTTTGAGAAGTGTATAGAGGGCTCTGGGGACCAGATTGACACAGCCGAGCTGTCAGGTGGTGCCAGGATCAATCGCATCTTCCATGAACGCTTCCCCTTTGAACTGGTCAAGGTGTGTCTGCCAGACTTTGTATGATTTGGTTCTATTTTTTTATTTAGAGACTGTATGAAAATTATTGATGTGGGGAGGGAGGCTTAATCTTAAATTTCAGGTTTTGATAAAGCATGACTCTCCCCAACATTTTATTTGGACCCTCCTTGACTCAGAAAAAAGAACTGCGATACCCTCCTCCTAACAGTGTTGCGAGTAACATGTTACAAAAGTAACTCAATAACAGTTATGTATTGCTTTTTGCTGTAACACAGTAATATAACGCATTAATAAAAGAAATATCAGTAATATTATACCCGTTACAATCTCAGTAATGCGCGTTACAATGCATTTTAACCTGAAATTAAGTATTTTTTGTGTTTTTTAATAATTCACCAACACCGAGAAACATTTCAGCAGCAGAAAAACAAATCCATGAGTAAAAGAGTAATGGATCATGCGGAAATAGATTCCTATAGGCTATGTGTTTCTTTGACAATTTACTTTAATGATTTGAGAGGCTGCTGTCAGTTCATCCTGACCAATCCTGTTGGAATATCAGAAGATTCAAATAAGCAGTGACGTTATGCTGCTGTACCACGTCCATAAATGCGCACTGTGTCTTTCTTAATGGGGAAACGATTCATGCTATTTCATCCAACCTAACCAATTAATCCAATTAATTGATGAATACATTTAACAATAGCCACTAATGCATACATTAGAAGTGGAATTAGAAATTTATGGCAAATATTCTAGCCACTCTCTATTCTACAATGAAGAGGTGGTAGAGATACAGTTGAATCACTCATCAATAAATATCCGCATGCAATTTTGTTTCTTATTACTGGCAGTTTAGTCCATTTTAGTTAGTTGATTGTCATCCTAAAACAGTGACAGAATTGTTGTTCTATGCATATGGTATGGATGCATAATTCATTTCTCAAGCAAAGGCGGAAATATAAATATGGGTTGAGTAAATATTTAAAGACCCTCCCAAAAGGTAAGACTACCCTCCCTTCAGCCAAAACAAAAAATAATTTTCATGCAGTCCCTAATTTTAAATATGCCAAGGGTCTGTATTACAGCACAATCAGGCAAAGCATAAATTATGCTTATAAAGATTAGATTAGATTATTTTGTGACAAATCCCTGTATATACATATTCATATTATTTGCCAATATACCTACAATATACTTAGTGGTTTAGTCTTCCTATCTGCCCTCTTTCTTTTAATATGACATACAATAGAGAAAACAAGATGGTGATATATTGTTACATGGAGTGAAATTGATAACACTTAATCCTTAAAACCCCACAAGCCTTGGGCAGGATTGTTCTACATGTTTTACCAAAATAACCCACCAAAATGTAACTGTTTATGGCAACGTTTTGCGCAACCACCAAACCCTAAACATGTCAATTCAATAGCTGTAAATATTTATGCACAAGAGAACATTTATCAGACTTCAGAATTCTCATCACATTTTTTTTCTATTTATTTCAGGCATCATAGCTAGTTTACTCTGTCAAAAGAGTTTTTTGGGTGTTTATTTCATATAAAGCACGTTCATATTACAGCTAAAAATTTATCCACGGTGACTGGAAATGTGAAGTGAGTAAAAAGTGTTTAGTGGAGGGTTAAATAAAGTGGAAAACACTAATAAAAAGAAAAAAAGAAAAAAGACTGTCTCAAAATAATGAAGACAGGAAAAATTTCCTACATGAAAGCATATCTTGCTTAGTGACAAACATCTCTCTTTGTCTCGTGACATCATTATATCTCTCCTTCCTGGCTCTGGGCTTTTCTGACTCAAACATTCCTCATTTCCCCCCTCTCACTTTAACAACCTCTTCTCCAGTTGTCTCTCTTCACTCCCATTTCCCCCACCTCACCTTCTTCCTTCTGTTTCTCTCACTCCGTCATCATAACCGTCCACATTTCATCCCTCCCACACATCGTCTCTGTTTACCTTTCACATCATCTTTACCTCAGGCCTGTCCTCCCTTCACCCACCTCCCCCAACATCTGTCTGTCTAAGCCTTTTACCTCACGGTTTAAAACCCTTTTTCACTTTCTCTCTCAGTTAGCCCTTACCCTTACCTTCCTTTCTCTCCCTCCTTTTATCCATTCTTCTCCTCTGTCCTCTCTCGCCCTCCCTCTGAGGATATAAAACTTGTCTGTCTGTGACTCGCTGCTGGGAGGACAGAGCAGGTTGCTTCCTAACCAGAAGCTTAACTCATAACACAGAAAATCATTATGTTTTGTATGTTTATAATGCATACTAAGAACGAATGAGGCATTGCAGTGAATAAAAGCATTGTTCTTCAAATTAAAAACTATATAGTACATCAGCTTATATATCTTCCTTCCAGTGTTACAGTATGTTAGGCAGAGAGTCAAATCAGTTGGGGGAAAGTGTGGTTAAGGTTTGCAAAGCAAAAGCAGCCAAGACATTTAAGAAATAGTGAAAGATATATGTTCTCACACAGTGGTTCCCAACATTTTTAGCTTGTGGCCCCTTAAAAGTAAGTCTGCTTGTTACTCAGACTCAACCAAAGAAAGATTTTCCCCTACTTTGTTTGACTAATTTCTAGAGGCCTGAAGAGGTCATATTTTCCAGCAATTCACAAGAAAAGAAAAGTGAAAAAAGTAAATGTTTCTTCTGCTTTCATTTCAACATTTTGGGAAATACGCTTGTTTGCTTTCTTGCCAAAAGTCAGATTAGAAAATGTATGCAATTTTTAACTTTATACTGTCAAATCTATGCATTCAAAAAGAAGCTGTATCAAGAAGAGGGCTTAGCGTAGTGTAGCTTAGCTTAGCATAAAGACTAGAAGCAGAGGAGAACAGCTAGTCCAAAGTTTTAAAAATCCACCTACCAGCGTCTCTAAATTTGACCTGTATAAACCAGGGTAATTATATGCTAGACTATTCCGTAGCGGGATGCACAAACCTCCCAGAGTCTCTAGTTGCCTGGCAACGTCATGGTGACTCCAGGAAGTCACTGTGCCGGATCAAGAAAATAGTCCCAACACATATCTCCCCATGAAACCAAAAGGTTGGCTGGTGCTGGCGCAGGCAGAAACCTGTATAAAATGTGGATCATACTCACATTAACTATTTCACAGAGGACATACACTATAAATCTTAATTTACAGAATCTGATGAGTCAAGAAAGGCATTTTATTAGGAAATCTGTATAGATAGATAAAATAAAGAAGAGAGGCAATAAAGAGAGAAAAAAGTTGAACTGATCTATGAATCTATGAGAGAAAGAGTGTGGGTACTAAATCCTCCCTGTTGCTTTTGCAGATGGAGTTTGATGAGAAAGAGCTCCGCAAGGAGATCAGCTACGCCATCAAGAACATTCATGGAATCAGGCACGTCCACCCTCCATCCCTCCTTTACTCCCTCTTTACTTCCCCTCCTTCTCTCTTTCCATCTCAGTCATGCTGGCCACACTGCATCTAACTGACTTTGCTTATATCCATTCGCCAAGACCTCTATGGTTAGATTGTGCACTGTGTTGAATACTAATGGCATCATATACAGAAAAGGTTTAGGCTCAGATAGGTGACTACTGATTATGTGATATTTGTTTTTATGGCCTCCATATGGCCATATTTGTTTGTTTTGAAATCCTGCACATTTCATCCGGGATGCTCACTCTGTCCTTGACATCTCTCTGTGTTTGCATATGGGTGTGTGCATATGTCAAATTTAATAAGGCCGAAAACATCCGAAAAATCATCTAAATTGATATTTGGTGCCATAATGAATTTAAAATAGTGTTTGGTTTATTTAATCAGATAATAACGAGAATATAACGATATAACGAGAAGCAGGAGATATGGGATTTATGTGTGGTCATCTGTTTGTGGGTAACAACTATGTGTGGTATGTATAAAGAAATAGTATTTAATTTATTTCCACGATGGACAGAATATTGTTGGTTTCTGTTACTACTAGTTTACAATTTAATTTGCTTTATATTTGTATGAAAAATTACCAAATGAAGATGATTGGCAGGATGTTACTCGGTAGTAGCTGGATTGTTTTCAGAGGGTTGTTGATAATTGTGTGTTACCAGTGGTAGCAGTGGGTCGTATCCAAAGTGTTCACCTTCATTTGGTTACATAAATTCAAATTTAAGTTTTAAAAAATGCAGTTATAGTCCCCATTCATATTCAGACATGTGCTGAAGAGGATATTTGGGTGGCACATTTAAAATCCAAAGCGGCCAGGCTTTTCTAGCGATGGGTTTTCATGAAAGGTTTTAAAGGCAATCCCTTTAAAACATACACTTGCCTTTAAACCCATAGAAACCAGGTGTGGTGATGGTCACTTGGTTGCATATGAATAGCCAGTTAGTTTTAAATCAGTTTGAATCTGGTGTGTTTCACATCTGTGTTAACTGATAAACTGTAGAATGAAGTAAACAACGTAATACATGCTTTTTTTCAGATTTAGAAAGGTGGCTAAACTGACCAGGACTATTGTGTGTGTATAGTGTGCCTCGATTTTAACTAAACTGTATTTGAGCGACATGTATTTTCCATTGTAATAGTATGTTTTGGGTGCTTGAGTCCTAAAATAATAATCGACATTTTGAAGCCACAGCATTGATCTGTTAGACTGTCAGATAGAAATGTAATGGAAATAAATTAAAGTGAGACCCCATTCATCCTCTTAATGGCTAACACACCAACCAGTCTGCTGTAACATGTTAACTCTTAAATGCCTGGATATTATATTTTCTAGAACCTGCTGCTTTGTAACTGCTTTTATAGCGCCATTCGCTTTCACACTCTGTGTCTAATTTGTGTCTGTTTATGTTTTGGGCAAAAGCTCAGAAACGGAGGGCAATTCTTTACAAATAACACTCTTCTCTTTACCCAACTCTCTTCCCTCCTTCTGCCTTTCTCTCCACCATCCCCTCCTATCTTTGGCCCTGTGGCTGGTTCTCTCTCTGTCGGGCAGAACTGGCCTCTTCACCCCGGACATGGCCTTTGAGACCATTGTGAAAAGGCAGATTGGGAAGATTAAAGAGCCTTGCACCAAATGTGTGGACATGGTCATTTCTGAGCTAGTGAATACGGTTAGGCAGTGTACCAAGAAGGTAAAAAAATAACAGTAAACGGTGGATAGCACTTTTTTCCCCCTCTGCTGTTCACCCTATTTTACTGTAACCACCTAGCTCTCTCCAGCCCTCGTTGTTTTTCTGACAGCGAGGGGACACCTGGAGTGGCAGGGTGGGCTGCGGTATACCTGCCTGCCTGTCTACTGTACTGCTTCGGACAGGTTTGGCTGGGCAGGCTGGCCGTGGTAGAAAGCTGTGTTTAAGAAAACCAGTGTGGAGGCTGAGCAGTCATTAAAATATGGTTGCCTATAAAAGATTAAATGTCAGTGCAGTATCAGCTCAGAACTTGAGCTTATGGCCTTGATTAAAAGAATTTGACTTTTATTGTTGAATTGGGTGGGGCACAGTTTGAGTTTTCTTTGAGTGGTTGAGTAGTTTTCAAGTCAAACAGGCTTGGTTCTACTCGAGTAAGATACTCAGTCCACCTTTGCACGCATGCAAAGGCATACACATGTTTAGAAAATAATTTTTCAATCATTTAGAATACCTGGCAGCCACATTGAATGACCTCAGCGAACAGACTTCTTTGTGTGTGAGACTGTAGCTGTGCACCTGCAGCAGACAGGAGCAATGACGATTATGTTTTAACTGCTCTTCAACAGGCCTCAGGGGCCGAACTCTTAGCTACAGAGGCTTGTGTGGCCAAAAGACAGAGCTGTAGTCTTTATCCAAATTGATCCACTGTGACCAAACAATTTCAACAGAGGTTGGACTGCAACAACCTGGAGGCCTTGGGATAATAAATGTTATGATTACTCTCCCAATGGATGTCAGAGGAAAAGGAGGGAGGGTGGAGAAAGGGTCAACACCAGGAGGGATCAGGGTGTTTGGCTGAACGTCAGGGTGCACAGCTGTGGTCTCGTGGTGCGTCGCTTAGAGTTTTTTGGCTTGTGGAGTAGTGCAGGCTGGGGCCTCTCTCTATTTCTTCCACTTTCTCGTCTTTTCTCTCAGTTTGCTCTTTACTGAATGAGGGAAGCTCCAGCGATGCCCTGTTTAAGAATGGCTTCGGGGAAACCAAATGTCTCACTTGGATTTTCTTCCTTCTGTGCTGTTTACCCCCCATCCTTCACACCTCTCCTTGTTTTTTTAATTTCAATATGTTATTTCTTCTGTTGCACCTCCAATTTTTACCTTCCCCGTCTGCGCACTGTCCTTTTTCTTTGCGATCTGTTTTCACTCCTTTTATTTGTCTCACGCTCTCTCACCTTTTCCCTTTTCTGTCACTTCTCTTGCTGTCTCCTTCCAACTCTTCATTTGGTGGTTTCGCCATATTTTGTGCCTTTTTTCTCTGTTTTTTTTTTCCACTCCTCTCTCCCGTGCCGCCTGCCTATCCCTACAGGACGGGGCTGTTCACCCCTGATCTGGCCTTTGAGGCCATAGTGAAAAAGCAGATCCAAAAGCTGAAGGAGCCCACACTGAAGTGTATAGATATGGTAGTGAGTGAACTCACCTCCACCATACGAAAGTGTAGTCAAAAGGTAAAATGCAGAAGAGAACCAAGCCACTTTCACTATCTCTGTTAATCGCACAGGTAGGGGTAGACCGATGGCTGAGCAATGTCATTTAGATAGATATAAAAATTGTAATTAAATTATTATTATTTTTTTTTATTTGTAAAAATGTCCTTACAGTGGGAAAATGATCAAGACTTTTCTTCTACGTTACTGTGGAATTGTATGTTTAATATCCAAATGTAAACTATAAGCAAAGCATCAGTAAGCCTCCTAAGCCAGGATATTGATTGCTGACATATAGAGCCACATCTAATGTAACCACCCATGACAATCTTTTTGCTGAGATTTTCTCTTTATGATCAGGCAAAAACTATAGCCTAAACCATAAATGTTGACTTATTTTTGTTGTTTTTGAGAATACTTATATTATAATACCAATTTTAACATGTTATTAGAAATTATATATATCCCTCACAGATAACAAAACAAGAACCTACAGCCAAGCTAGCAGTCCTTTAAGGCTGTACTTACCTATAGAGCACAGTGGTGCTTTGAGCTTCATGTTAACATCAGGATGCTAACATGCTCACAGTGACTTTTAACTTCTTATTTTAACATGTTAGCATGCTAACATTTGCTAATTAACACAACAACGTCAAAAAAAGAAAGTACATCTGAGGCTGTAGGGAATGTCATTACTAATTACAATTTTGACTTGATGATTACTCTAACAAAAAAGTCAATATACATGAATGGCTGTAGCTACTATTAGATATTTCAGTTTGGACTAAAGTGGTGGCCCGATCAACTAGCATCACAATCCCTAGAGCCACGCTTCTACTGTGGCTAGAAAGCATCATCATGCCAATTCAGAGTATAGAAAATAATAAATTTACATGAACTGACCCTGAATAAATACCCACACTAAACTAAACGTCATGATCAGAAGCTACTGTAGGTTACATGCATATTCAGAGAGGGTCCAGCATTTGCAGATAGAAGCAAATACACCAGATCTTTCCTAATAAAACGTCAATTCAGCCAGCAGATATCGGTCTATCCTTACTCCAGGTCTTACTAGTGTAACCATATAACTTGCATTTTAATTAAACTTTCTTTGTCATTTGTCTTCTGTCAATGATTGGCCTTATATTGACAATTTAACAAATTGTTGCCTCTCAAACTGCATGTTAGATATTTTTCTTTTTTATTTGACCTCATGATGTCCAAAAATCATTTGATTTGAAAAAATCACATTATTTTCTGTCTTTGTCAGTATGGTTTAATATAGTGGAGTGACTGATTGTGTAGTTCCACTCACTGACTAATTGACGTACTTTGAGCATCTCTTTACTTCTCTTTTTATTTCTCTTTCGTCTCTTCATCCTGTCGTCCTCTAACCCTTTGAACTGGCTGCTTCCTCGCAAAGCAAATTACCAAAAGACAGCGTGACCTCCTTTGGATTTCTCTTCTCTGTCACACTTTTTTATCTTGATTTCACTTTCAGAGACATACTGTATTTAAAGATACTGTATTATAATATACAGTGTTTGGGAAAATCCACAAAGGGGTCAGATTTGAAGTCTTCCTCCATCACCCTCTCTCCCATCCCTTCATCCCTGCTTCTTTGCATTGCATGTCAGTCTGAATTTGACTGCCTCTGCTTGTTGCCTTGTTTGTAAAAAAAAGTTTTTAAAGACATTGAACGCCGATTTTGATAGCCTTAGTCTGCCTTAAAGTTACAATGCACCTTTCCAGTGGCACATATTATGTTGCTTTCAGTTGCGTGGACATAGAATACATTCACAGTTTATTGGTTTTGTTTGTAAATGTTTTTGTTTTTCTGGTTTGCACAGTTTTCTAGAATTGGAGTGAATTCACAATGTGTGAATTGTGTTTCTCAATAAAACAGTAGCACCCAGCTATGATTAACAAGTTGAAAACCACATAGTTCTTAAAATTCAAAAGAGTGATTTGACTATAGTCAGCTGGTTAAACTAACCAGATACTGTAATGTATGCTATTATAACAAATATTTATTTAAGTTATTTTTACACAGTGTGTTTGAGCTATTTTGGCGTGATTACTTACATGTAGGCCTAATTGTCCTTAACAGTTAAGAATATAACCAGCACAACTGTGTACAGAAATACAGTTTATGTTGCCTGATGACAATTTGAAAAGGAAATTGAAATGACCTCAGAATGTAGTTCCAAATACAAAAAAATTACATTACTGTTAAATTGCACAACTGACCCTTTGCCAAGCACAGTTACTATCTGGCACTATGCAGTTTACCGTAGCATATTTACCACTCGAAACCTGTGGTTATTGTTTTAAAAAATGGGTCTTTGATTTCATACAGAAGCAAACAAAAGCAGGCCTCTCATTTCAGTTGTTTTTGTCAGCTGAAATGACTGTTGTTGTAGCTAGCTAGCTAATTAAGCTAACTCCATAAGTATGTTAAAAACTCTCTTCATCTGTCTTATTAATGCCTTAATCCGACTTTAAAAACTTGTAAAACCCTTAAATATGCACATTGGCTACATACATGCTCTTGAGGCTAAAGCTATATTCTTGCCTTAATCCGACTTTAATAAAAATAATAATCTTGTAAAACCCTTAACCCTTGCAGCTCATGTTAGAACAAACACACTGGTTAAATCCTTCCTTACACTTTTGCTCTTGTGTTTCTGGTTTTGGAAAGGCGATTAATAACGACCTTACCCTCCAAAATCTTCATATATAGTGCTCTTACTGCAGCTCCCCGCACACTGTTGCACACCTGCTGCACATTGTTATTCTTTCCTGCAAAATTGGCAGAAAAGAACAACAATGTGAGAGAAACTTACACATTGACATTAATCATTATAATGTCAGTAATTATCTTTACAGTGTGTCCCATTATTATAAAGCATCTATTCTTTATGGATGTTCTTTGCTTTATAATTGGAGCAAAAGCAGGAAGCAGCAAATCAACTTGGGAACCAGAAACAGGACTGTTTTTATCCGTTCACTCACCAAAACCTCTGACAGACATGAAAGATGCATTGTAACTTGCAAGAAAACAGCGTATATTTTTCTTTCTTGCGCTGTGATTTTGGTTTTGATTTTTCTTCTTTCCTCACACTTCTCCAAATGTGTTTGTGTCACATTGGAGGCCCACCAATGTCTGCATTCGTGGGTTTGCAATGAGCTCATGGAAAAATTAAGACCCACTGTGTGCTGGGAAAAAGAAGATTTTTCTGCCAGGAACATTTTTTATTCTGTGTTTGTGTGGTAATATCGCAGACTTTGCGCTATTCTTCTGCATTTGTTTCATATTGGCAACAAATAAACTTTCTGCACATAAAATCCACTCTTAACTCAAATCCACCCTCTGGTAAGGGTATGCAGAGACTAGAGCTGAGTATGGGATTAACTCCTCATAACCTGTTTAATTTTGTTTCTGTAACATATTTAGTTGTATCAGTGGAACTGCGTGTTGTGGTTCAGTGAAATAAGTATAGTGGTTTACTGAAGCTTGTATGTAGATTTGAGTGTGTGTGTGTGTGTGTGGCTGTTGCTGTTTTTTTTTTGCTACCTACCTACTGTGTTCTGTGCTCACAGCTGGCTCAGTATCCCATGTTGAGAGAGGAGATGGAGAGAATCGTCACCCAGCACATCAGGGACAGAGAAAGCCGCACTAAGGGCCAGGTAAAACAAGAAAAAACAACTACACACTGTAAGAAGAGAGAGTCAGTTATGGTTTTCAGTGTTTTCATAAATTTTTTCATAGGTGTACGTTCCGGCAAAAGCTGTAACTTTTGTGAACATAATTTTAAATGATCTATATCTTTTGATTCTTTAGAAAGAAAAGATCTGAGAAATAGAGCCACTAACAACATAGCAATGCATGCTAACACTACTTTTTCTACACACTTGAAAAATGAATGAAATGTGTAGAATAAACATTCTGCACATATTCACTTTATACAAAATAAAATAAAATTACTTTGTCTTAGGTGAAATTTGTGTTGGTAGTTTTAGTTCTCTGCTGCAACAACTTTTAATTATAACATTACAATAATATCAGCTTAGCACACGCCATGAATCTTAAACCACAAAACAAAGAAAAAACATTTCATGGGAAGCTTTGAATTTCCTAAGGTGATCTCTCTCTCTCTCTCTCTCTCTGTTTAGGTGTTGCTGTTGATAGACATTGAGTTGTCCTACATGAACACCAACCATGAGGACTTCATTGGATTTGCCAAGTCCGTTTCTGTTTTTTCTTCTTCATTATAGAGTTATAAATCTACAGTCACTGCAGTGTTCAGTCCTTCAGTTCATTGGCAGTTTAAGGCCAAAATCCAGTATCTTTTGATGTGTTTTGTTGTGCAGCGCTCAGCAGAGGATCAGCCAGATGAACAAGAAGAAGACAGCTGGCAACCAGGTACTTTGATCACACATAACATGCTGTCATGTCCAGTGTAAAACCTTTATCCTTTGACAGGTTATACTACGTTTTACAGGTTATAGTACAGAGGCATTCTCTTTAAGTCACATGAACACGATTCCAGATTGAACTCATTCAGTGCGTGGCCAGCAATATGACATCTGAACTTCATACAGCCTTTCCCCAAGGCTTTATTCTGTTAGCACTCAGCTCTCTGTTTTGCCTATGCTAAATGTAGCACAGCTATACAGTATCTTGTTACCCTCGGCAACAGTCCATATCCTACACAATGCAGCCCTGTACGGCTCTTGTGCATGTTACACACTAATGGACAACAGTTGTCGAATCTTGAAACAACTAGTCCTTTTGGTGAAAGTCACGGTGATGTCAGCACAAACTGAGGTCTGTTGCAAAATAGCAGACCTCAGTTTTATCAAGATGTGGGATAGTCCCCACAGTTTCTGGCTTTAAGGACAACGTTCATTATATTAATATCAAAGAGAAACCACACATTTTAATAACAGAAACTGGATCCCGAACTGCAATCAAATACATAAAGTAATTATGCAATAATTCACCACATGTGACTGATTTCTTAAAATTTAGTTAATCAAAGTGTGAAAAAAAACAACAAAAATAGAAAGAAAAAAAAATGATCATGATTGTCAGAAAACCAGAATGTTCACTTTGATGTGGATCCAGACTAAAAACAAATAACCTTCAGTATTCATGGTGCCTTTTTTCATTGCTGTAACTAAATTTGTTCACACATTTTTTAGATGTGTGCTAAATAACAGACAGAGAGACACACTAACAAAACTGACAAACAGAACCTACAGTAACTGGCTACTGTAGATCATCACAGTGTCAGATTCAATGGCTACACATTGAAGGTAAAATAACGCAGATTTTGCATGATTTACATTAAACCTTTGCCGTCTGAAAGCATGTAGATCTTCTATTTTCCCACATTTTATCTTACTCTGTAATCTTATTGTCTGCAGCTCTTGTTTTTTGTATCTATCATTTTGTTTTACTCTTGTTTCCTTTGAGTGATTTCTCTTTCTGCTGTCTGTCATTTCTCCTTTTGCCGTGTTGTCTTCCTCTCTGTGGTTTTTCTGCTTCAGGATGAGATCATGGTGAGTATTGTGTGTCTGTGTGTGAGTGTGTGCATGTCTGCAGGTAGGCTTTCATGCGTATGTGCTCATGTTTTTACGCTCTGCATATGTCGGGATACATGTATATATGTTTAAACTTGTTTGTCTTTTGTGTGTGCTGGTTTATAATTGATAGTGGATTTGTGAGTGTTTGTATGAATGTGTGTATGTGTGTATGAAAATGAGCTTCATAATTACCAGTGGATGGGCAGGTGGCTGTGGTGTGGGATGCTTGGCTGCTTCCCTTTCCTCTCTTTTTCAGCTGTGTCCTCCCTGCAGGCACACACATTTGCACTCATACACACACTTACGCTGCAGGATGACAAACGCACTGTAAAATGCTATCCTACCCCGCATCTTTCAGTCTTGTTGAAAGGCTAAGTTTGGAGATGCTTATTGTGACTCCAACAGTGAGGCACAGTTTGCTTTGGCAATGAAGAAAAGCCTGCCGGCAGCAGTTTGAACTGGATTAAGAGTCAGTCACTCGTGTGTTCTTGAATTGCAGGAGAAGACCAAGAGAGAGAGATATCAAAAAGAGAGAAAAGAGATTTTCTTTTCTTTAAACATTTTTATTTACACGTCACTAGACTTCTTCCCTCCGTCAGTGGGCAAGACATATGTCACCTCCGTAGTTTCCATATGTCTAACAACCACCCAAGTTGGGGTCATAGGTTAGGGGCACATTGTAAACAAAGTGGTGATCTCCACTTCCTGTTTACAGGAGTTGGCCCCGCAGCTTCTGTTTCCCCTGATTTAACACGCTCCTGACCTCCATACTGAAAACTGTGGCACCCCCCTAAAACCCAAGTTTATGGACTTAAGATTAAGTATGCTGATGGAAAGTTACATTGCTGTTTAATCTCTTGGATCCATCTTAAATTCTAGTCCAGATCTGAAACTGTCCCAAAGATCCCAAATACATATGCTGAATGACAGGGGAATGTGCACAGCAATGCACATGTAGACATTTAATATTTTAATATCAGGGTGTAAGAGAGAATGTTGTATGTTGTCCAGATTGTAAAGCCCTCTGAGACAGTTGTGTGATTTTGGGCTATCGATGAAAAGAGTTATGCCTGCTCACTAACTCCAAACCCAATTTTATCACTTTTATTACACTTTAACATAAGTGTATATCAAAATGACAATGAAAATGTTGTCTGTACAAATAAATGTATGGTTTGGAGTCAGTGTGCAGGCATTACTCTTTTTTATAATTTTGATTTTGAAGTAAATTGACTTGCAATGGATCAGGATGGCATCAGGATAAAAAATGATGATTTGATTATTTTAAGTCTATAAATCTATTCTTAAATTAAACACCAGATATAGAATATATATGTGACAATGTCCCACAGTTTGGAAAAAGAGGTATACTGTTGATAAAGTGAATACCCTAAGAACTGGAAATGAAAGGGAACTGGACTTTGATCAGTTCATCCCCCTGAAGTTTGATCACTCCACCATTTCTATTCAAGAAGCACATAAAGAATAAAATAGTCAGGCTCCTGCATTTCACTGCATGATCTCAAAAGGTTTGACTTGGGCCAGTCTTGTTGTAGACTCCTTACTTCCCTTGGCCCCACCCTGCTTGCTGTCCCTTTGCTGCCGTCCCAGCAGCCGGCTGTAATGTGCTGGTATTTGACGATATTTGTGTATTTGGCCTTTACTAAATGCCCTGAGTTGGCGTAGCTATGTAACGTTCTCTCCACATTCTCATTCAGCCGGAGAGAGGAGTTAGCGATCGGTTCAAGGTAAATAAAATGCACCCCATGTACTGTATGTGTCTATAGTTTCTGTATTAGGGAAAGAATGAAATACGAGAGAAAAAGAGAAAAAAAGAGTGAGAGGAATGTGTTTATAGTCTTGTAGGTGAGCATCACCCTGCTGTTGTTTGTGGGAGTTTCTTCATATCTCCACTAGAAGCAGTGTATTACATTTACCTGTGCTGCTGGTGTATGTACATATGTGTGTTACATCCACAGGCTGACAAATATGGTGTTAGTTCAAATGTGTGTGAGAAATAATGTAAATTTTTTGTGTCTGTCTATCTCTCAGGTGATCCGAAAGGGCTGGCTGACCATCAACAACATCGGCATCATGAAGGGAGGTGCCAAGGAGTACTGGTTTGTCCTCACCGCAGAGTCCCTGTCCTGGTATAAAGATGATGAGGTGAGACACTGTGCTGACACCGTCACACACACACACACACACACACACAAAAAAAAGATTGTTTGCACCTGCACGTTTCTGTATTTGCACAGTCAAATCTTCAATGCGTCGACAGCTGACATTTGTTTATCTGCGTTGTGGTGTTGTCCAAAGAACAAAACAGCATAAAGAATTGGTAAAATAATATGACAGCACACACTAGCTTGTTGTAGGGCAGGAGTGCTTGGCAAAAAAACAACCATTGTCACAGTGAAGAATGAACTGTACCAAATGACAGGCAAAAGTACTCTTTTATTATTAAAAATAATTTCTTAAAGAACCTTTGACATTTTTGTAGTTGCATGACAAAGGATTATTGGTATGCATTATTGAGAAGGGTTGTAGCTGTGATGATGTCTATAGCCATGGCTGTGGTTTGGTTAGTTTATAATGGGTGTAACACTTAAGCAGGGGTTGTATGTGTTCAGTGAATTGACATTAGTTGGGCTGTCTGAGCATTGTACTGAAGCTACTGTATTCCTGAACCCCTTTGTTGTATAACACATATGTCATATTCATAGCACCATAGATGCAACCACAAAAGTGCATGTTGATGTCTAATAATCCCTGAATCCCAGGGATTTTTAATAACTGAATTCTCATTGAAACATCAGTAAGCCCCACTGACTGTTGTGAAATATACTAAAACTGTGTACTACACCGGGATATTACATTTTATTATGAGAGCTACAGTATCTATGTCTTTACGGCACCGTGGTTGAATCACCTAAAACTATGCATATCATTTTAACAACAGCATTTTTACAATATTCATTCCAACAAATTACACTACCAGGAGAATTATATGAGTTGGATCTGAGTGTTTATTCTTCACAAGCTTCCACCACCGGGACACGCAGAGTTTCTTTTCCACTTTCTGGTCTAAATTTCATTCCAGCTCATCCCACTGGCAAAAATGATTATTGGTCCTTTCCAATGCAGAGATGATTTGACCCGGCGTGCTTTGTTTCTGGACCGACTGGTCAACGCGGTTGCAGAACTATTAGGAGCTAGCCACAGTCTCACTGTCTCCAGGCCTTACCCACAGCCGCTCTGCTCGCTGACATAAGTGTGTGTGTGTGTGTGTGTGTGTGTGCATGCGCAGCATTGAGAAGGCCCTTTATAAAGAGTCAGACCCCCCAGCATGTCAGACCCTGAAGCTGGCACACACATGTGCATACCAGAGGCCCCTGCCCTGCCCTGTTCCCCAATTACACACACACACACACACACACACACACACACACACACACACACACACACACACACACACACACACACAAGCTGCTTCTAATAAACATACTTCATTTCAAAGAAGGGGCACAGAGTAAGAGAGAGAGTGGATTTTAGGGGAGGAGGCAGGAGTGTCTCTTGTTAGCTGGTTAGCAGCAGGAGTAACAAGGACCATGTGAAGCGGGAGAAGGTGGGAGAAGAGAGGTGGGGGTACAGAGGGGGGAGACAGAGGAGGAGGAGGAGCAGGAGGAGGAAGAGGAGAAAGTGCTGGGATGGACCTTTTGCTTTTATATCACCCCTTTTTTCACCCCTCATTTCCCATCACTCACTTATACGTCATCAAAGATTTACCAAACCAGAGGAAACTCTTCTTCACCCCCGCTCCCATCTGTCTGTCCGTCTCTACGTTCTCTTTCTGCCTCAATCTTTCCTCATCAACCTCTCCTTCTCTTCTGTCCCCTCACTCCATCTTTCCCTCGCTTCTTGTACTGTATATTTATTTGAACATGGAGCTGCAAGGGTGTGGGGAGACCCAAAACCAACACACACACACGGTGCTGGTGTTAAAGCTCAGCGCCGAGGCTGGAGGGCACACCAGCACTGCAAATGACTTTTAAAAATAAAGAAAAAAGAGAAACTTTTCATTTTGTTTTCTATCCAAGCTAAACATTTTTACATAGTCCAGTCACACAAGTGCACACACACACACACACACACACACACTAGAGGTTAGAGTACTCACGAGGGCATTAACTCACATGTGCACCTGGGTGGATACTTGCCAATATACACACAGTTGATAAAATGTTGGAAACTGTTTTATGCTTAGATTTAAAAAAGGTAACACTGTATGCAGAGAAACGCCTTTTTGTTTGTGCATCTTTGTGTGTAGTTTTAAATTTACATATAGAATTCACATGTTTCTTCACACCAACTAGCAAAACAGTGCAGCGCCGTTTTATTGACTGCCTCTTGTCATGGGGAAAACCCTTGCCGCAGCCTGGTAACACACACTCACATGCACACACATGCACACACCACCCCCAGACACTAATAATAACTTTCAACCCAACTAGTGGTGCCAGGATGTTTTGGTTAGTGTGTGTGTGTGTGTGTGTGTGTGTGTTAGTGTGTGTGCCCCTAGAAACCTTCTGGTCTGTATTACCACAGGACATACCAATTCTTTGAATCAGGCTGCTCTGTAGCTTAAAGCTTCCCCAAGCAGAGAGAGAGAGGGAGGGAGGGAGATGTGAATGGAGAAAAAATGGTTGAAAAGAAAACAAAAATGTACATACCAAGAACCACACGACTATGATTTTATAGCACATGTGATATTCATATATCCCTTAAATCTAATTTATACAATTACACATTTCACACAGAAACACACAGATAAATAAGTTGCTTTCCTTTAGTCACTTTAGGGTGTATTTATTTGGGGTGACCCTTTTGGGTCTTTGTATGTCTGCCCGGGTTTCCCTGATCCTGCTGTAAAGCTGCCAGAAAACCAGACTCGCCTGGTGATCCCAGCTGTAAACATCCTGGGGGGAATCAGCAGACGCTGCTTTCAGCGCATGCACCAGAAACACGTCTGCTAGACAGTATGTGTGTGTGCATGTGCCTTTTTGCTGAGTTTGTGTGTGTGTGCGTGTGTGCGTGCGTGCGCGCATGCACTTATGTGTTCTTGTGTGTATGTTCCTGGGGCCGTGACATGGTGGCAGGGCTCTAAATGGAAACAGGTTGGTTTGCGGTTTTCATTCCTGCAGATGATGCTCTGTGATGGGACACCGTGTGAATGTTTCTGCCGTCTACTTTGCTTTTGTGTACTTGAGAGGGAGTTCAGAATGGTACGCTGTGGCTTCGACTTTATCAAAAACAGGCGGGCTGGAAGACAAACTGTGGCCCAGATAAAGAGGTAGAAATGAAAACATAATGGAAAAAGACACGGGGGGTCTATCTAAACTTGTAACGTTTCACATGACATCACCTACAAACACTAAAGCCACACACAGTTTTCGGTGTTTTTTTGGCAGAGCTATACAAAGACTCGTAAAAATGGCCAATAGACAATGCCAGAGTGACTGCACTTTCAACATTTTTGTATGGTGGCTTCCTGCTTTTCTGCACATTACATGGTCGTTTGAGGTGAAGCAGCCACAAGTTGATGCAGGGAGGGCAGAGATGTAATTGTACATTTTGGTCAAGGGTGCAGTACGATGCTGGGGGTTTACTGTGTGTTTTGGTTATCTTTTTGAGTAACTGTTCTTTTTTTCATTGTGTGGTTGAACTTTTTCTGGCTTCAGTTCTCATTTAGAGCTTCGGGTTTTTGTAGAAAACTAAACAACATGTTGAGAATGTCATCAACCATCACTTGTATTTATGTGAATGTGCATCAATATGGGATTTCCCATTTTGTGGATTAGTATTTCTTTAATCTCTGTGTAACTTGCTTGAGAAAAGAAAACTAGAAACCATGCCAAATAGATATCCAAACGGCTTTATTTCAACTATTTAAATCTATTTTTACAGTTTTATTGTCATCAGCTTTCTCTATTGGTGCAATGGTAAATCAAACAATACAAAAAAAACGATACAGAAAAAAAGTTTTTTGAAACTGTGGATCCGTCACTCATAAATCCAGGATAGGCGAGGGCCAGGCCCCTGCAGTGGAGCCTTTGTTTGCTTTATTTAGGCTTGTGCCCAGGCTTGTCCAGATGGATGAGTGGCGATGCTGGGTGTTCCCACAGCCTGATGTGCCTGTGCCTGCTGGATGGACGGTGAGTTGTCCTGTGCTTCCCCGGTCAGCCTAACCAATGTGCAGACTACTGTACAACCACTACTTCCTGAACAGGTAGTCTGAACACTGGGAAGGCGGGCAAGGCGGCTGAAGGCTGCTGTGGAGAAGGTTTCACTGACGCCACAAAGATGTTTACAGATTCACTGACACACACTCTAAACTACACTCACTGCGATTCCAGTATCAGACACTTGAGTCCAGCTCCTTCTGCTCTCAAAGTCTGACTGCTGATTGTGGCGGGCTGGAGGAGAAACAGCTTGCAAGGAATGGATATAGGGGGCCGGCAGGGAGGTGAAGGAGGAGGAGAAGAAGGAGAGGTTAAACAGATGTGATAGCCACTGATTGGCAGATTCAACGACATTCCCTCCTGTTTCCCGCTGTGAGAGGCTGCATTCCAGACCAAGAAATGCATTTTGGGTATTTCTCAACAACAAGACATGTTGAAGAGTAATAAATCCATTTGATAATTCTGATTATTTATTCAGTGAATAAAGTGCAGTTTGCAATAGTGTTGGTATAATGTTCAATTAGTCATTCATTTTTCTTCAACCTGAGAATGACTTTTTGAGAAAAAATCAACCTGAGCCCTTTCTAGGTCTGGTTGCTGAAAATGGATTAAAGCAGGCGACAGATGAGCACAAATGTATAAACACACACTAAGGGTCAGCTAAACCTAAACTTGGTTTGCCCCCGCTGAGCTCCAGGCCACGAATAAATAAAGAAAAAAACTGGATAATTGTCAACAGTTTAAAAAACTGGTAAGGTGAAGCTGTCATTAAAAGATAAATAAAACACCCAAATGCCAGCTCATTGGTCTTCAAGTGCTTTAGTCTCTCTTGGTTAGAAACTTATCAGTGAATAGTTTGTGTGGTTAGCTGAGATCATACAAGTCTGACCCAACACCTCCCACGCAAACACCGGAATACGTAAC